AGGTTGAGATAAGTAGGAAATGATACACAGGTGTACAGGGGATTTTTAGTTTAGCAAATCTGTTCTGTATGATACTGTGATGGTAGATACATTATATTATACATATTTCAAATCCCATAGAACTATACAATACAAAGAGTGAACCCTAAACTATGGCCTTTAGTAATAAGGTATCAGTACTGGTTCATCAATGATAGCAAATGTACCACAGCAATGAGAGATGTTAATTAGGGAAATTATGTAGGAGGAGGTATATACGGGAGTCTGTACTTTCTGCTCGATTTTTTGGTAAACTTAAAACTGCTCCAAAAATTAAGTCTATTAATGATAAAATCCCAAAAACATTTTTAAAAGCATATGTAGGTAATAATGCTGATGCTGGAAATATTTTTTCTAATTTGTCACATATTGATAAAATAGTTTTTAAAATAGATCTATTAGCTATATATTTGTCACTCCTGTATCATGAAATTTAAAGTTCTTTAAATGTCTAGCTATTTTCCAAAAGATATTTAGTTAACATTCTGTCATATAGGACAAAATTTAAAAGTCCCCTCAACATAGCTGTCTGAAGAATTGTTTAAATTTCTTTTTCCAAATGAAATGTTCACGCTATATTTGTATAACTCTCATTTTTTATTAATTTTCAGTACAGTTTTGCTTTTCACAAACCTTAAATATTTTGCCTATGTTTATTGTTATGTAACTGAACGTGACAGTTGCTCAGCTATGAAACTATCACTTTTGGCTATTCAAAGCCTTATGCAGTATTTCTCAAATTTCAATGTGTATGAGAGTTAACTGGGAATTATTTTGAAATACAGATTCTGATTCAGTTGATTTCAGGTGATGCCTGTTTATCTGCGTTTCTAATAAACTTCCTGAAGATCCTGATGCACGAGCACATTTTGAGTAGCAAGGTTCTAAATATCTAGGTCATAAAACTATTACCACCATGAAAAACAAACCCAGCTACCTAGCAATCCTTGCAAGAGTTTAAAGAGCTGTTTTTCTGTTTTTCCTAGCTGAGGAAGCTTCCAGGGCCCCTAGCACTTCTATAGCTGCTTTCTCTATATATCATCCCTTTCAATTTCATCTATAAAGAGGAAGGCTTGATAACCTTTGTACAGTGAGTAAGCTATCCATTTATTCATAATACTCATGGTTTATATGAACCAAAGACCATCTGTTTCCAGTTCAATTCTCCAATTTGTATGTCTGAAATCACAGAAAGATCAAATGACCGGCTCAGGGTCACTTATTTAATAACTGTAAAGGTCAGGTCTCAAATCTAGGTTTCTGCTTCCAAATCCAGTCCTTTTTCCTCTGTTTTCTGTTGCTTCTAATGATGCAATGAAGAAAATAGGGACTAGGTGGTTTAGACAACAAAATCTAAGTTCTGAATTGAATCTCTCAGCCTTGGACTTCCCACTGCAATTCCTGACATGGGTTTAAAATATTGTTGTGGGGGTGGTCAGATGTATCAAGGGGAAAGATTTCTTTGTGCTTTGAAGTAACTCTTGAAATTCAATAAAATTATATGAATGTATAAGTTTGTTTGAATATACTATGAAGCTATGAGATAAAAGACTTGGATTTTCCACCATGGAGAATGGGGAAAAAATTATTTATTTATTCTGTTTTCCGAAACCTGATAGTCCTCTAGAAAGAATTCACGGCCAACTATGTGTAGGAGTCAGACGCAGGTGGACACACACCTGCTAACACCCTTCTGGAGCAGCCTCACTTATATAACCAAAAAAAAGACAAAAGATGATTCGATGTCTTCAATGGGACTTCCAGGCCATTAAAGATAACTAAAACTAACCTGACCTTCCCAACATAAAGAAAACAAGGTCTAGAGATGTGAAAACAATTTTGTACCACTGTATAGATATTTTTAATTAGAACTAACATTTAAAGTTTCCCAACTCTTGGTTTAAGGGCAGGCCTCAACTTCACTCTGACTTCAACAGTAAGTCATGGTGGGAGAGTTAATAAATGTGAACTACTTAAGTGACATCAGGGTTCTATACATGTCTTCCACATATTGTCCTTCCAAATAGGGACATATTCTAACAGTAAGCCTTTAAGTATACTTGTACTTTAAGTATAAAGCCTTTACATACTCTCACCTACTGCCTCCTGGATCCCATACAAAAACAGGAAGTTAGGATAATATGACCTTAGATATAAGACTTGCTTCTGAACACTGGACAGCAGCCCATCATGAAAATCCGATTCTTCCAGAGGCATCCTCTGTAAGCGTGTGTGCTGTACACAAGAAGCTCAGAATTAAGGGGCTCCATTGGGGTGGCCAGTCTGTTTCCTTCTGGGCACTGCTTCTGATACCACATCACAAGGTAATTAAGGGTAAATAATATTGTCTTCATAGGATTAAGTGAACGTAAAGGCTCCTGAGATTCTGGGCTCCTATCTCTATCTTTCCAGGGCTGTTTTGAAGTGTCCATGTGTGAAGTCTGAGCAGTGATGCTACCATCAGGGAGACCTAGCCTTGGCACCTCTGGGCCCAACCTGAGAAACATCCACAGCCTTTCATTTCTTTGTTGGTGATCTGAGCTTTTAGGGACAATTACAAGCAGTTTAGATGGCAGTTGTACAAAGCACACATGCCCATGCACTACAATAGGTTTCCATGGAAATTCTACAAACTTTTGGCCATGGCATGTCTCCAGAAAAGTACAAGATACTCCCAAAATCACAGAGCCAGAAGGCGGAAGGCGCTCTGTTTTTTCTGATGCTTGGATATCCAGCTCTAGCTGACAAATCCAGCTTTGCCCTATTGTTCTTAATACCATTGTCTTACCCATCGATACAGTAATCATGGCTTGCCTATTCCTTCCTCACTCTTCCTACTATGTGTCATTCCCCTGTCTCTGATCAACATTCTGTCCCTCCTTCAAGACTCAGCTCGCATGTGGCAACCTCTGTGAGAAATCTCCCTGACAGCTTAGAGTTGGCTGTGGTCCCTCTGCTTGCCGAACACCTACAGCACTAAGGCACCACACTATTCATTTGGCATTTATGTTCATCCCTCCTTCTAAGAAGAAATCATCACTAGTGGGATCTAGTTTCTTTAACCTTCCAAGATAAATAAGAATTGGGATTAAACAAAGAAGTACAGGTAGTATACTTGTTGAGCATTCAAAGATTTTCACACTAAAAATGCCAACATGTAAGAAGGAGAAAAATGGCTTAAGGGCAGGGTGGCAGTTTTTTGTTTGTTTGTTTGTTTTTTTCTGGGTATCATCTCTGAACCTAATCACCAGAATAATTTTTGGAAAACTTAAAGGATGTGACTTTAGGACAAATATGAAAGAGACGACAGGTATCAGTTTAATGTCAAGTGCAACTTTTGGCAAGGATAGTGGGGCATTAATAAAAAGGGCTGACCAGAAGACTACAAGCCTCCCATGCCACTGGGAGGATTGAAACAGTCTAGGAATCCTCCGCTGTGGCCATGGCGTAATCCATGGGAGAGAAGCAGCATTAGCCAAATGCCAGGGCTCTCTTCTGCTTCTAAGATTCTATGATTCTACTACAAACAAGAATGCCTATGGCTTGTATACTTTGTTACTTTGTAATCAATAATAATAAAAGCACGATGACTATGAATAACTTACTGTGCTGACAGTGAATCCCATTAAATCCTTGGGGACATTTACAAACATAGCCTATGAATGTGTCACCTCGGTATGCTTCACTTATTTCACAGGTTCCTCCATTATGGCATGGATTAGGAATGCAGGGACCTGAAAGACAGAAAAAAATATTTCTGCTTGATGCATATTCTTAAACGTAAGCATTAGGTCAACATCTTACAATTAATAATTTTACTGAAAAAAGTGTTCTGGATATTAGTAGCATAGGAAATGTACTGGTTGTATGAGCTCTGGAGACTAATTGCCTGGGTTTGGATCTTGGTTTTACCACTTCACAGTCATGCAGTCTTGAGATATATACATACCTCTTCTCTGTGCCTGTTTCCTTTTCTGTTAAATGTCAATACTAAAACATTTGCCCTAAGAGGTTATAATACAGATGAAAAGAGTTCATACATATAAAATACCCAGAACAGTGTCTGTCACTTGTAAAGCACTCGAAAAATTATTAGTAGTAAATTAGATATTAAAATTTCTGAATTGTAGGATACTCCTGTGTGTTTCAAAAGTAATACTGTGTGTTTAAAAAGTAAGTATAATAATAATATAAAAATAAAAATAAAAAAATTTAAAACGTAATACTGAATAGCAATTTTTCTGGAGTTGCATTCACAACTCTACAATTTTTTGTCCCCTGCTGGTGCAAGTAGCATATGGCTGTAACCACACAAACCAAGTGAATTGGATAGCTGGTTGCAAAGCTTTTATAGACTATGAGTTTATGGTGGAACATACCTCCGGGGAAGCATATTTTCTGCCAATCTAAAAGAAGCAGTTCATCAAAAGTTGCATACTTAGAGAAGAAGGGCTGATGGCCATTTTTAAACTTTGAGAAAGTAACAGCAGATTATTTAGTAACTGTGGCTGCTAATGAAAGTGTGGTGCTGCTCAGAGCTCTCTTGGAGAAAACCAGCTGCCAGGAGTGTGGTTAGCTGACAACATCCAACTACTGAACCACAGGATCTGCTGTGGCAGCATTTATTTCAAGGCCAGGCTCCCCAGCCAAAAACTAAATACCAAAGGGGCATAGAGTTAGCTGGGCCAGTCATGCCTGACCTGGGATTTCTCTAATGAACACTCTGTACTCTGAGGTGCCCCACTAGTGTGGCTGAGATTTTTCTTAAAACCATAGCAGTTTGAGACTTTTTCTATGCAATGTTCTCTCCTTCCTTTTCTCCCTTCAAAGTGACAGGCTGTGTCACAGTCTGTAGGCTCATCCTATCTACTCTTGCTCTCTCTCCCCTTTGTCCATTACAGACATTCCCCCCTAAAAATCTTTAACACTTTTAATTCTATCTTATTGTCTTCTTCCTGCAGGATGTTAATTGACTCAGGACAGAATCCAGATTTGAGATCGTGAAGAAGGGAAGAGTCAAGCTGAAGGAAGGAAAAGTTCTCCCTGGGAGGTGAAAAAAGACAAATACAAAAAACTATAGTTTTCTCTAATTTAGTCTGTACTTATTTTAATTGGAGACAGTAGAACATATTTATAAGGAAAAGAAAAGCCAGTGAAGAGGAAGTTAAGATGTACATATTAGGAAAGGAAAGCAAGGATAATTAAACGAAGTGTCTGACTATCTATGAAGAGGTGATTTTGAGAGCCCTGGAAGATTAGTTCAGAAAAGGAGTGAGTGTGTTCAGCTGAAACAAGAAGGTAGAAGAGCTGGACAAATGAATAATAATAACTTGAGGCAACTGGGTTGGGGCAAGGGTATTGAACAGAGAGTGCTATAGAGAATGACTCCTCCTGCATGGGTCAAAACCACTAAAAAAACAAGGGCTGGACGAGGTGGTGCACACCTGTAATCTCAGCACTTTGGGAGGCTGAGGCAGGCAGGCTGCTTGAGCCCAGGAGTTCGAGACAAGCTTGGGCAACATGGCAAAACACCGCTTCTACAAAAAATACAAACGAAAAAAAATCCAGGCATGGTGCTGTGCACCTGTAGTCCCAGCTACTTAGGAGGCTGAGGTGGAAGAATTGCTTGAGCCTGGGAGGTTGAGGCTGCTGTGAGTTAAGATTACACCACTGCACACAAGCCTGTGTGACAGAATGAGACCCTGTCTCAAAAAAGTAAAAGTTAAAAAATAAAATAAAAGTATGAGGAGAAAAAAAAAATCACCATCATCATTTGAAGCACTGCAATCGGATCTCAACCATGGGTGAGGACTTAGAAGGTAGGCAAGTTTGTCCTGCACTGGGGCAAGATTTTATGAATCTATTTCTTCTTCTGAGAGGTGTATTTGACCCTCCATTTCTTTCCGTTTAAAATGTTATGAAATTCAATGGTTGTAGAGTCTAATAAATATACACATGGAACAGGAAACAATGCGGGAACTGTTCAGTTCCCGGACCTTGACTTCCTGATAGGGCTGATTTTCAAAAAGTAAAAAGGATTCAGGGGATCTGTGATTTTTTTTTTTTTGTCAGCACCACACCAATTAAAAACAATATATTTATTTAAGTAGACAGTTTTGTGCTGTGAAGCACATGTCAATTAAATTATCTAACACCTGCCTTTGAGGTGGTACATTGCCAATATCTGAGACATGAAAAAAGGTGAATGACCAATGACTAGTTATAGAACAATTTGAACCATTTTCTTTCATTGCTACAAAATGAAAATCATGCTACAGGAACTATCTCTCCTTCTCCTCTTTCTCAGTTTCCACTTCTACCCTCCTCACAAATTAATTAACATTTGATAGTGCCTTACAATTTATAAACTCTTTTCACATAAATCATCTCATTTATTCTTTACTATAACTTACGTATTTGTCATTATCATCCTCTTTTACAGTTTTTTTTAAATACTGAAGGTCAGAAAGACTATATAATATTTCTCAATCAATATCTACCAGTGACAGACTGAGGCCTCAGACTAAGAATCTGGGATTCTAAAACCTGTACTTCTCAGAACATCAACTAACTGGGGAGGGGAGAAGGAAATCATAGTGATGTTAGAGTTTTGACTCATCAATTCACTTCAAATGAGAGTAAAAATGACAGATTGTAAAATTAACTGATAACTGATAGCAAAGCATATAACAGCTAAAGAAAAAAACATATAAATAACTATAGTCAAAAATTATATAATTTTAAGCAAATAAGAATCCTTGGAGATCACTCAATCTGACTTTTCAATTTTGCAGGTGAGGAAAAAAACTCAATATGAATTCAGAAATGTTCCCTAGAAACCACTTAATATGAGAAAAATTAGGTTTAAGGACTTGTTCCTAGGAGGAAAAATAGTTATTTAAACCAAAACTGGTAAGAAATTACTGAAGAGAGTGGAGTAATTTACATCACAGAGAAAATAAGTCTCTCTTCCATGACAGGGTTGGATGAGGGAGGAATAGAAAATGACGGAAACAGTAAGTCCTCTGCGAGTTCTTGACAGCAGTTAAAACAGTGATTCCGGGTCAGGTGCCATGGCTCACACCTGTAATCCCAGCATTTCGGGAGGCAGAGGTGGGTGGATCACCTGAGGTCAAGGAGTTCAAGACAATCCTGACTAACATGGTGAAACCCTGTCTCAACTAAAAATACAAAATTAGCCGAGTATAGTGGTACATGTCTGTAATCGCAGCTACTTCGGAGGCTGAGGTAGGAGAATTGCTTTAACCCGGGAGATGCTGGTTGCAGTGAGCCAAGATCGTGCCATTGCACTCCAGCCTGGGCTAAAAGAGTGAAACTCCATAACAACAACAACAACAAAACAACAGTGATTCCAAGGAAGGAGGTCAATGGAAGTCTGTCTAATAAAAATAGGGCAAATAGGAACCTGGAATCCATGATGCTATTTACTCAGGCCTCCTGTGTCTTTGTAAAAGTGAAACTTGGCTAGAAGGTGAGAAGAGCAAGATGACCTAAATGGATCTGCAAAATAAAGGGAAGAACTGGGGAATGGATGCAGAAGACTGAGAACCAGAAATTCTAAAAGGAAAGGCAGAAATAAAGTCTTCAAGGAGAGAGAGAAGTCAAGCAATGTGCTGGGAGGCTGTAATATGTGATGAAAAGTAGCTAGTAAGAAATTGTGATGTCCAAAATTCAGGTTTTAGTTGTTTGCACAGATGCTATGTGAATTGCTTCTGCTGGAGCATTGAGCTCTACAATAACAGCTGCTAAACACATATGCCTGTGAGTGATACTTGGGGAAATCAAGGTGAAAGGGCTGTACTATTGATGTGGCTTATCCTGGCAAAAGGGGAAAAGTATTGCTGCATGTGATGCCCAAGAGATTCAAGAATCCAGTGGGTTCAGGAAGCTGAAGATAGAGCGAACAGTGGTTTCTTAAGTCCCAAATATTCTGGACCCTTCCTGAGGGCACAGGTGAAGCCTGTCCAGCAATCTTGGGGCAGCCTCTGGGATTTCCAGATGATGTGAATTGGTACATTGGAGCTCCTTTTATTTACACGCCAAAAGACATCATGACCTTGGCTGACATCTGGATTTTAGAAAAAGATTACATGTTTCAGAGGTTATGGCTGCTGTTATTTTTCATACTCCAAGAAATTCAGCAATTTTCATTTAACGGATGAGGATGGAGTAAAGCAAAAGGGCCAAAGATTAAACCTTTCTGGAGTCCCATGCATGCATACTAGACAATATGAGTATACATATTATTTTTGTAATGCTTTGTAAGACTATAATCTCGTTTTAGAGGCAATAAAATGGGCTCAGGGAGGATAAGTAACATATCTATCTGAAAAAGCATAGATTGTAACACACTCTGCATAACTATAAAGTCTATGCTCTTTCCATTAAGCCACATTTCCTGCCATGTTGAAAATCTGTGTATTCATATGTTGGTCTTCACAGATGTAAACAGAATCAGCATGAATTCACTAAGCACATTGCTACAAAAAATACAGGACTCCAAATCCTCTGCAATGGAAATATTTCAGAGTATTTTCAGGAAATGGGTCACGGTGTATTAGATTTTATGAAAAGAGATAGACTCTGTAATTACAATGTGAGACTGATGTTATGTTCCTTGTACACACTTTTTTTCAAGTACTCATGACAAAGTGTTGAAATGAATGGTTTCCTATTGCTTTTCCCTACTAGACCATAAATTCTGTGTGAGAAGACTTATGTTGGCACACAGTAGGTGTTTGATACATTTTGAATAAACAAGGATATGGAAATAATGAGTGATAAAAATTATATTTGCTGCCTACACTGTATTCTAATTTTAGGTTTATGACATAATTTTCTTTTGGATTTCTTTTTTTTTTTTTTTTTTTTTTTCTTTTTGACAGTCTCTCTCTGTCACCTAGGCTGGAGTGCAGTCGCTCCATCTCGGCTCACTCCCAGGTTCTTCAGCCTCTCGAGTAGCTGGGACTACAGGTGCCTGCCACCACACCTGGCTAATTTTTTGTATTTTTAGTAGAGACGGGGTTTCACCCTTTTAGCCAGGATGGTCTTGATCTCCTGACCTCATAATCTGTCCGCCTCGGCCTCCCAAAATCCTGGGATTACAGGTGTGAGCCACCACGCCTGGCCTTCTTTTGGATTTTTACTCAATAATTAAGTTAGATATTTTCTGGAACCTTTCTACACCTTTCAAACTTCAAGTCCTTGAATTTATAATTAGATTCCAATGTGTTTTGTCTCTAATACGGTTTAAGCTTCAAACGTATTACACTGAATTGTAAATAACAGACCATTAGAATGTGTACTTTTGCATAATGATTACATGTATCTTAATTCTTTGGCAAATACATAATGAAGAAAAATGTAACTTGTATAATCTCATTAACAGTGTTTTAGTCACCTAATTCAACTATTTCTATATAAATAAAAACATTCACTTTATGCATGAGCAAAATAAAATGATCAGAATACAAGTTAGTACATAAAGATAACATAATAAATGTAGTCCAAGGTCTCAGCTTACAAAATTTGCTTCCTAGCCAAAAGTTATGTTTGAGGTTCAATAGCAACAGTTTCCAGTTTTATTGCCCCAAGTGATAATAAGTAGGCTATTCATATGAGAATTAGGGATCCTAGAAAACTTTTGTCTTTGGGGTTACCCCCATTCCATAATCTTCTCTATTTTGATACTGAAAAAAACATATTACTTTAAGGTCTTGTAACACTATAAGTAACAATAATCACGTATAGCATATAGTGTTGCTTGTACTGGGAGGATAAGAAAGAAATGGACACTGCCCAGTATGCTACAGAAGGTGTTTCCCCTGCTAATTTCAGGTTAAATAACATTTATTCATTAGGTACTCGTTATGTGCTGGTCTCTGCTAGTAATTTGGGATAAGCACTTTGTATGGCATTAAAATTGTCAGCAGCTGAAAGACAGATCTCACATCAGAAAAATATCCTTAGTTATCTATTTATAACTAGATATCTCATTTTTTAAGGCAATTTCAATGGCTATCCTTTACT